CACAACTCCTGACATTGGATTCAGGAAACATCACAGAAGAAACAGAAGTATTTTAAGAGCCAGAGGACAAGAAATTCTACTATGGGATTGTGTCTCCTAAAAATGAAAAGGAAGCTATACCCATGATATTGCAACATTATTGCTGCCTAAATAAGACCTGGGAATGATGGTAAGGGGGAAATAGAACAGGGTTCCCCATGCCTAGAGAAGAACTATAGGCAACTAATGACTGCTGAGAGAAGGAAGATTTACATGTCAAGAAATGAGACCCCTAATTGGTTACTCAATACAAAGTGATCAGCCATGAGATTAAAAAAAATTGACTCATCAGGTTATAATTATAAATACATGCACATTTATATGTAACAATAATAAAGAAAAATATACCATCAATTAGAGTGGATGTGGGGTATTGAAAGAGAAAGAAGGGTGAAGTGATGTAATTATATATTATTTAAAATAAACTAATGTAAATATAAAATTATATTCTTTAAGATGCATAAAAATAAATTTTGAGATTTCATCTTACCTCACTCAGAAATTATATAAATAGATAAATAGATAGATAGACAGATGATAGATAGATAGATAGATAGATAGACAGAATGACAGACAGACAGACACAGAGAGACACATAGATGATAGATAGATAGATGATAGATAGATAGATAGATAGATACATAGATACATAGATACATAGATACATAGATAGATACATAGATAAATAGATAGATACATAGATAGATAATCATGGTGTGGATGTAATGAAAGGGGAACATTTACATTTTGTGGGAGTGCAACCTGGTGTAGTCGCTATGCAAATCAATGTGGAGGTTTCTGAAAAATATAAAAACAGAACTGCCATATGAACTATGTTCAGAACTCTTGCATACATACAGAAGAGATTCGTACCCCTACCACAGAGGCACTTGAGCATCGATGTTCACTGCAGCTCCATCCACAATAGGAAAATGAATCAACCTAGATGCCCATCAGCTGAAGAATGGTTAAGGGGAAATTGTGCCACACAGACACAATAAAATATTACTAACCTATAGGAAATTATAATCATGAGATTTACTGTTAAATGTATGGAACTGATAAAACTTATCCTGAGTAATACAAGCAGATCAGGAAGACAAATGCTATGTTCTCTCTTAGATGTGGATGTTATCTTTGAATCCTGTATGTGTAACATTAACCTGGACTTTACATGGAACCCAGGTA